GCTGCCTTTTGTTCTGATCAGGCCATTGCCCCAGACTTGTCCAGCCTCTGCAAGAAATAATGACCCTGCACGGTCAGTGGAAAGCAGAGACGGGGCTGCTCCCGCCGCCCCCAGGGACAGTCCTTTCTGCTTTTCTTGAACGCTTTGGGAGGCAGTTCACACACTGCAGGGAAAAGCATCCATGTGCAACTCTGAGTCAGCCCAGTTCAAGCTGTATGACTTGGGGAAAGTCAGTTAACCTCTCTGGGTTTCATTTTCCTCATCTGTAGAATGGAGCTAACAGTGCTTACCCCCAGGGCTATTATTAGGTTTAAAGAAAATAGTGTGTATAAAGCACTTAGAACTCTGCCCAGCATGTGGCAAGTAATCAATACGTGCTGACTGTTGTTGTTGTTACTGACTGCCCTTCATCTCTTCAGGGAGGCTCTGCTGGCTTCTCCAGCGGCACCCTTCTTCCTCTGCGCCTTCCTAAGGCCATGTGCATACCACTGGCACGGAACTTACCACGTTGCTGGAATTATTTAATCATGTGTTTGTGGCTCCAATGAGACCAGGTGCTGCAGATCTTTCTGAATCATGGGTCCCTCTGGCAATCTGGTGAATCTGTGTGTTCTGGGTCATGCACATGGCCCAGCAATGGCGTAAGAGGGTGTCTCCTGGGGAAGCCATTGACCCAGACTGCTGGAAAGCTCTTCTCAGAATGATGTCTTTAAATGCATAAAATTAAACGCATAGGATTATAAAGGAAACTGGTCATACTGAATACAGTTATCAAAATATTTTTTTAAAAACCAGATCTGTGATATGGTAATATATATGTTACTTTATTAACACATCAAGTAAGATTTACTGCTGGGTCTAATAATTACCCTAATTGATGAACATAAATGATATTTTGAGATATTTACAACTGTAAGTGATATGAAAATATCTGTAACTTCTACTGGTGTCAAAGTCACAGGTACTGCTGATATTTTTCTGGTCAATTCCCTAGCTCCGTAAGTAAAGGAAATGCTAAACATCAGTTACAGATTAGTGAAAATAGAAAGGTAATTCTTTTCTCATTGAAGCTCACAGACCCCTTGAAGTCTGTTGAGAACCTTGATTCAGACTGTGAGTTTCTAAGAGTTCATGTTCTATTTATCTTTGTAACCTCAGTGTCAAGCATAGAGCATGGTACATAGGAAGGATGTAACACACTGTTTTTTTAATTAATGAATTTAGGACATTGTGCCAAGTGCTTCAAAACTGACAAGGCTTCTGCCCTTGAGAAGCTAAAATCTGTACAGAAGTAACTGTGATACCAGATAAGAAGTGGCAAATGACACAATGGAGGAGCTTAGGAGGGTAGGTGGCCCGGGGTGTGTGTGCACACATGCATATGACTGTGCATACACATGTGTGTGCATGAGAGGCAGGGAGCAGAGGACTGCAATGAGAACGGTGCATTTACAAATTATTTTTAAATTATTGGCCATGAATCTGTCTCCTTGACTAGAGTAAACCCTTCATGGCAGAGACCATGTTTTATTTATGTCTATGCAACAGGAATAGTGTGAAAATTTTGAAAATGTGAAACTAACATATTTTTCATTCCCTAATAATCATGTTCCTTGCAGCCTTCACACAAAACAGCTAAGCCTTTCCCCCAGGAGAGGAGCAGAGCAGCGAGGAAGGCCACAGAGAGGGGAGGATGGCAGACAGCAAGGCTGCCAGCTGCCGCTGTGGGCTAGGGACAAACCGCGCTGCTGCCTGCGCGGGCGGGGCTGGGGAAGAGCAAAGCGGAGGCCCATGGGGGCACGTGTGCCTGCGTCTCCTCTCCCGGGCTAACCCTCAGAATGAGGGAGGACAAAGGAAAAGGAGGGAGGGAGGGAGGAAAAAAGGAAGAAGACAGGTTAGGGAAGAAGCTAGAAGCTGAGAGTCCTCGCTTCTGGCATCCCTTTAAGACTCTGGGTACAGGAAACCACCCTGCAAGTGCCTCAGCACCAATATGCGACTCCACAGCAGAAAGGAAATGGTGACGTGCAGGCTTCTGATGCATGGGGTCTCCCGGCTTCCATGTGTCATGAGGGATCCAGTGAGACACATGTAAAGGGGCTGAGGACACAGAGGCAGGGACCCAGCCATGAGGCTGCTGTGGAGACAAGAAAAGAGGCTTCGTAGCTGAACTGCAAGGTGGACCACCCAGGCCAGGGACAGGATGGAGAAAGAGGCTGAGACTCAGAGATCAGAGCACAGTGGACAGGTAGCTATGTGGGGACACCTCAAGACCAAGAGTCACAGCAGCCCTGGATGCCAGCAGGATGCCCAGGAGCCAGACGGCAGGGTTCGGGAGGAGGGCTCAAGCCAGCACAGCCCTCCCCATTGCCACGAGGACGTCCAGGCTTCCCTCCCCAGATCTGTGTAGGGAGAAAGGGGAGTAGAGAACATCTGAGAAGGCGGAAACAGCCCAGATAGAAAGTCTGCACCTGGAATTAATTTGCCCAACCATTTACCAAAAAGAGACTGAGCTTACCTGAAGCAGCTAACTTAGCCTAAGGGAGATACACTTAAGGGTCTTTCAGTATCTGGGGCGGCAGAGGTCTTCCTTGCCACGTGAAAAGCTACAGGAATTAAAGGACACACTTTCTTATTTTTATTTTTTGGAATGTCTGGGTGCAATGCATAAGTTTCAACCTCCCCGTGTCCCTCCACCTCCCATTTGTAATTCTGATATCCAGTACAGTGTTGGGCACACTGTGGGCATGCAGTAAATGCTTATGAAGGTGAACTGAGCTTAGGTACACAGGAAGAAGTGACAAGTGACAGCTAATAGATGGCCACAAAGAGAAAGGAAACCAGAACAGAGAATCAGAGATATAAGGACTGTAAAGAAGACAGAGCTTTGTGGGGCCATTCAGTGTACAGACAAATGGCTGCTGAGACTGTCACTGGCTCATAAGATCACATAACAGTGACTGTTCATAATGAAGACCCAAGACATTTCTCTATTTAAGAAAGGTAGGGAAATATTTTTTTTAGGAGGATTCCCATCCAAAATGGTTACTTAAAAAATGTATCATACAGGGCCGGCCCCGTGGCTCACTCGGGAGAGTGCGGCGCTGGGAGCGCTGAGGCCGCAGGTTCGGATCCT